ACCTGCCCTTTTCTTTTGGCAAAACCTCAGTAGTGATAAACATTATCAGCAAGTTTTTGGAGGTGATTTTGTTCATCTGTTTTGCAGCTTTCATAGAACTAGGTAGAAAGCACATTGCAGCAGATTTTCTATACAGCTGAAAGGTATTTGCAAATCTTTTCCAAATCTTCTGGTGAGTTAAAATTCTGAATCTGTAATAAAACAAACATTTTGGCTATAAGAAAATCTTCCTCTGAAAGCACCGAGTATGATGAATATTATCGTGGCCTATCACATTGGAAAAAGATTAGGAAATATTTAACAGGTAAACAAAACCTCTTGTTTTCATCAGTTAGCTTTTAATGACTTGTGTGTTGCTCAAGACAGGAAACTTGTAGAATATGTGAAAAGAAGCTCACACTTCAGGACCATTTTTCCACTTGCTTTTCTTGAAAGCAATTGTAAATGTAATTGCATGGGTACAACTCTGACAAAGTATTGGTGTATCCCAGAAATAATAGGTCTTAATACCTAATGATCAGAACTCTGTTTGGTTTGATGTACTTGTTTCTGGTGATGCACTGTGCAAAACAACTGAAACACTTCTAATACTGGGAATATGAGTAGGATGGAATGTGAACTGTGGGACAGATTTTTGCTTGAATTCTCTAGTGAGTGGGAAGTATTTAAAGGGGGGGGGGGGGGGGAAATCCAGGCATGGATTTTTTTTTTCTTTAAGTCTGAATGATGGCTTTTATATGTATTGTGAAAATGCATAATTGCTTCAGTGTTCCAGCACAAGTTGGATAACAACTAAAGTAGGGCTTAGCAGGGTAGGTATCAAAATCATAATGAGGGAGATGGGGACCATGTCTTAACATAAGATAATTGGCAAGCACATAGCTAAAAATGTGTCGCAAGACTATAGAGGTCACTGGCAAACTGAATTCACTTTAATATTTCCGGATTTCTGAGTGCAGTAATCCACAACTCTAACAGTTTTTTACTTTTTTTTTTTAATCTATAGTGAAGCGGGAAGAGAGACTGTGGATAATTATTGGTATTTCCAAAAAAGCCTGGGATTGAAAAGCATTGGCTTCCATCCTTAAAATAGAGTGGAATAGTAAATTGTAACAGCCTTCTGGCATGTGATCTTAGAAAGCCAGTCTTCTGTGTCCTAGCATTCCCAACTTGTCATGTTTAATCTATATTAATCTTCTCAATTTTTATAGAAGCTTTGATTTGGTTTAGTGATCGAGACCTCGCACAGAAGGTGCTCTAAGAGGAAAACCATTTTGTCTGTTAATAATAAGAAAATACATGGTTGTGGCTCAGGTAATATTTTTTTTTTTCTTCAGGCAAGTTCATTATTGCATTTCCTAAAGCAGTCAGGATATACATGTATTATCAACTTAAACTGCATTTTGCCAGTACATGCTCATTATCTGTATGGCTCTGTCAAGAAGTCATATGGGGCTTACTGGGTTTCTTTGTAAGCATTCAGGAAACATTTCATTAGCGTATTATCCAGAAGTCAAAACCAAGTAGTAAGATACTGTAACTATCAAATTCTCATTTATACACAGTTTACTAGGGTTATAGTTTGACTTATTTGGATTCAGTTGATGGGAATGTACTGTTCAGTTAGAAAATGCTTAGGTGTATTAGGAGAAATTATTGCTGATGGTTAATACCAAGTTGTGTTATGGCTTGCAAGAATTGTATCTTGAAAACATGCTTGGATTTGATATTCTTTTCTTTCAATTAATACCATTCTTAATTACAAAATTGCTGTACTTTAGATTCAAAATTTTAATTCAGAATTGGTTTTTGGAATAGTTTATTCCATTTCTCAGCTGTCAAGATAACTGAGGTCCAATTTTAACTTAATGCCCTGAGGTTGCCTACTAAGTATAACTAGTGGTAGGCTTGTCTTCAGTGAAGGACACATCAATAAGTCTGCCGTTGTTCTTGGACACCTGATAGGTCTTGCAAACTCTCCTGCACTTAATGTTACAGTTTGTTCTTCCACATGTCCTTCTGCATCATCTCATTCCTGTCTCACTTGCCTACCTGATTAGGTGTTTCCATTTCCACTTGCTTTGAAGTTCACCCATCTTTTTTTATTTTTCCTTTTCTTTTTTTCTTCCCCCTCCAGAAAATTTTTTATTCCAATTAATCGAGCTCCATTAATTGCAATTTAGATGGAGATCTGGTATTGTATCTTTTAAGCCAGAGGGCAAATATTACCATTGCTGCA